CCTTGTCTTTGAAAAATAACAAACAATTGCAAGCTTGACAAGCTTGCTTCCCATTTAATTTAGTATTTATGTCAACATTACCTGATTTCTCCAAATTCGGGGAAATTTCGTTTTCCAAGGCTACACTGTCAAAGCCAAACAAGTCACATTTGAGAATTATGGGCGCACTGTAGTAGAGGGGGTCTCAATGGGGTGATGGCTTTTACGGCTAACGGTTAAAATTTTGGCCATTTTACTAGTAACGGTTAACATCATTCCATGAGTTGTTACCAGAAATCTTTAACAACTCAATTCATAATTTGTTACCAGAAATTTTTTTTGAGGTTTGATTTTTTTTACGAATAAAGGTTAAAATTTGACGATTTGTACGCTTAACGGTTAGATTTTCTTGTGGCCGTTTCATGGCTATCGGTTAATCCCATTGAGACCCTCTTGAAGTATATGACGTCTTAGATCAGTGGTAAGTAACTGACAATAAAAAGATTGCTACCGTAATTTTTTTGCTATCTTATGCAGCTGACACTATAGATATTTCACAAGTTATTTTCTATTTATTAGAATCTGAGGCATTGGGAACATTTTTCAAATGGGAGGGGTGGGGGGCTTTTGGTTGTGTCAAATTTGAATTTAAGGGCATTTTGGCCAGAATGTTTTACTATCGTGAATTGTGGGATAGGGGGCAAAATCTCCCGATGAACCCCTTGCATACCCCCCTCTAAGTATCAAGAGGGTCGTAAAAGAGTGTTGGCATGGCTTTTACGGCTAACGGTTAATATCTTTCCATTGTTGCCACTAGAAATGTTTTTACCGTTAACTCTTTTACGAGCTAAGGTTAAAATTTGTCAAGTTTTACGCCTAACGGCTCACAAAAATCTTATTAAGACCCTCTATCAAACACTGTTGCTGCCAATTTGTGATTAGGAAAAATGAAAACTGTGATCAAAAGTATTTAACAAAGTCACTGAGAATAGGAACTGATCAATTATCAAATACGATCAAGTAAAGGATCAAAATGGTATTTTTTTTTTTCCCTGGAGCGATTCATTATGTACGAGACGTGAACTAATGATTGTCATTTCACAAAATGTTAATACCAATAAGAAATATATCTCCAATATTGCAGAAGATCATGTAGTGAGCGTTAAACTGCCCAGTTTTCATGCGACTTTCGAAATTTCAAAACGGAAATCGAATACTAAGGGAGAATTAATGAGAGGGAGATATGGAGAGCGAGTTAGCATTTGCTCAGAGGATTTGAGCGTTTCAACTCAAGTGAATGAATTTCGCTTTTGTACGTCACACTTTAATGACCAATGATGGAATTGAACATGTAAAAATAACATATTTCATTCCTTTTTAACAGGAAACGTCAAGCTTCTGTGTCCATCCGTTTCGAAAATTAGAATTTCATTACAAGATCCCTACCAGTAAAACTAAAGCTTCTTTCTTTAAACGGTAAGCTATCTGTGCGCGATAATCAACTTTTCATGAACTGATTTGGAAAACCGATCAGCAGTTTACTCCGCAGTGAATCTAATTCGGTTTTGCACGTCACACTTTTTATAGACCATATGTCGACCATATGTGGTTCACCACACCACACCTTTTAACGTGTACAACTCTCGTAACTTAACACCGAGTCACACAACGCGTGACGCTTTCATGAATTAATCGTTTGCCTAATCTCGAGATGTGAGCTTGGGCCGCCTCTGCTGACATCAGTAAAGGACATTCTGCATGATAAATATGTCTTAATATAGAATTGATTTTAGTTTTTGATGCGTGATTGTGGAAACCATAAGTTTCTCAAATTAAACAATGCTGAACAATCTAAGTTAATGAGGTTGAAATATATTGTATGAAACCATAAAGGTTTGAAGAAAGCCATATAACGGTGGAGATATGAAGCATCCGATCAACAGAAAAGTACAATTATACTATGTATGCAATAACATTGAATTTAAGAGAGTTTTAGTTCCTCTGAGAAAACTAAAACATCTCTCTTCGTGGGCGCGCAGCGTCATGAATCTTCTTATGCGATACTCTGGCACTTAAACAGACAAAAAAAATTTGTGCTTGTATGCCCGTCTATCGCATCCTACTCGGGTTGAAATTTTTAAGAGTTAGTTCTCATATGATAAACTGCTTATTGACTGAGTTTGCTTGGGTCGGATGGGAAAATATTTGGCACTTTTTTATCACTCATGATGTAATTGAACATGAAAAATGAAAAGTGTTATTCTATTTTTAATGGAGAACGTCAAGCTTATAAGTGTTGACTCTTTGAAAAGTTTGATTTACATAACAAGATTGATCACAGTAAAACCTTGGTTTCTTTCTTTAAACGGTAACTTATCTTTGCGTGACAATCGGCTCATTGTCGTCGTGAACAATTCATTTTCTAGCGGGTGTGATTTGTATTGACTGTATTTCGATTGAGTGCGTCACTCTTTTCTGACTAGTGATGGATTTTAGCCTCCAAAAATGATACAACTTACTCTGTTTAACCGGAAAGTCAGGCCTCAGTGTTCATCCATTTTGGAAAGATTGGATTTCCTTGACGAGATCGATGAGATCGAGAGTACAACTAAAGCTTCTGTCTTTAAATAGTAAGCTATCTGTGCGTGAAAATTGACTCATTGTACTCGTGAACTTTTCATTTTCTTGCGGGTGCGATTCATGAATTAATCGTTTCTATTTCTTGAGATGTGAACTCGGGCCACCTCTGTTGACATCAGTAAAGGACATTCTGCATTATGAATATGTCTTAATATAGGATTGATTTTAGTTTTTGAGCACATGATTGTGGACACCATCAGTTTCTCAAAATTAAACAATCTTGCTAATGATGTTGAAATCTATTGTAGGAAACCATTACGGTTTGAAGAAAGCAATTTTACGGTGAAGATATGAAGCATTCGTTCAACGCAAAAGTAGGCTCATACTATGTATGCAATAACAGTGAATTTAAGAACGTTTCAGTTTCTCTAAGAAAATCAAAACATCTCTCTTCGTGGGTGCGCAGCGTCATAACTTATCTTCTTATGGGAGACCTTAGCGCTTAAACAGACAAAAAAAACGGATTACAGCGTTTAGAACTGAAATATGTACCGTAGAACCCACCGTTAGTATCTAAAAATTTAAGTGAATGGTGTCTCGACCATGAAACGCTTGTGTACGGGTAGAAAACGGAAATTCAAGTCGAATCTACCATGATCTCCTAATCGATCGTTAAACCCTCCTAAAAACAAAGTCAAGTTAATTGCTAGTGCAGATCATAGCTAATGGAAAACCACATAATGGAGCACTACGGAATTCCTATGATATCTGTTCAAGCATTTTCCATGGTATGATGCTTCCATTTCATACATACTAAGTTTTTTTCTAACTGTCCAACAAGATTGGAAGCTAACAACTGAAAATACATTGTTTGTTTCATTAGAGCCACAAATGATACTACTAAACAGTGTAAATCCCTATTTGTGTTAAAATAAATTCCATTTTTTAACAATTCTCAAATAGAAGATTAAATAATTTTTCAAAGATTTAAAGGTGAGAAGGAAAAAAATTGGTGATACTATATGATTATTTTTGACTGTTGACAAAGAAATTAAAATTTAATATAGATCAAATAAAAAACCCTTTGAAGGTCCATTGCAACAGTTTCCAATTCATACACATATACAAAGACTGTTTTATTTCCAATCCAACAAAAGCTGCCATAAGCAGGCATTGAAAGATAAAAATCTATGATAATACAAATAGGGATTTTAGGGCAAAAGGGTAATTTATTTAGATCTTGTGAGTATAGTTGTCAGTCGGGTAACATCTCCTTGCAAGTGCATTGCCTTACCTCAACTTTTAATTTCATTTTTTTTTTTCTATCAAAGAAATAAAAAATGTTTCAACTTAGGAGGGAGAGGCCACTCCTACACGGTGGATGTGGTGACCATGCCCACCACGTCAACCTTATTAAAAATATAAAATATGAATCAAAATGAAATCAACTGTCTCTCATTCATTTTATAAATGTAAATTTGCAGCAGATTAATTCAGCCATAACTGCAAATGATAACTTCTTACCAAGCCTGAGGGCCATACAAGAGAACATTTTCCTGAGTTCCTTACAAAAACAGCGGATGGCCAATATTCCTCAGTAGAATTTGAGCAAGAAAAGTTAGCAAGTGATTCATTACATTGCAGTTGGACTAAACTTTTTAGTTTTAAATTTGGTGCCTTTCAAAACAAAAATACATCGATTATGATCGTTTCGCAGGAAACGGTCTGCATGGAAAAGTGCAGAACAAGTAAGAACCAGATCAGTGCTGGTAATTACCTCCATACTACCGGAGTTATTCGGTTATGAGGCGCACTCGGCTTTAAGACGCACCCCCAATTCGGCAACTTTTTTATTGCGTGTTTTCAAACTGAAAATATCGCTAAAATACTTGGTTATAAGGCGCATCGTTGTTTGGGGAGTAAAGATCGGTCAAGTTTATTGTAAATTCTTTCATAAACTTATAAAAAAGCGAAAAAGTCGCGTATTGATTTTAGTTTACCGTTAATTAACAAAAGCAGAATTGTCGCACACGCGACCACGCGCACAAACAAAAGCCTTGATTAAACAAAAGCAAAATGTCACACACATAAACAAAAGCCGAAAAATGTCACACATTTAATCACATGAGATAAACAAAAGGCAAAAAAAAGTCACACATTTAATGACAACCTATCGGTACATATTAATTTTTAGCCTTCCCTCTCGGGAAACATGGTTTTAAAGTATAAAATCAATTCGATCAACAAAATCAGTAGTTGCAAATTTACTTCACCTGGTGAACATCATCTTGCAAAGTCTACATTCAGCACAATCATGCCAAACACTCGCCGTCATTCTAATGATCTCAACTTCAAGTTGAAAATCGTAATTGAAGCTGAAGCTGTTAACAACAATCGAGAGATAGCGAGGGAATACGGAATTTTCGAATGGTTTCGAATCAATGGTTCGGCGATCTGAAGATGATAGCCAAGCGCACTTCCATGGACCGTTACCGACCAAAAGATCCCGAACTTCATTAACTGTAGGCCGACTGGTTCAGTGATCAAAGGAGCCAAGGTAAGCAAATGCCTTCTTATCTAATACATGAAAGTTCACACGGCAACCAGGTGGACAATCAGACATAGTTTGGTGCTACTCTAGTTTGCAGATTTAATGAATGTAACCGAAGAAGATACAATTCATAGACCCAACCTTTCGACACTCCTGTCTAGTGCCTTCATCAGGGGTGATCTAGACGCTGTAACTAGAGGTCCTTTTATATGATCACTAATTAGCGGCCTTTTTTTTTTTCTCTGACGAGGTGTAAATAGGCGTCAGGAAGCACACCGCCATCGTCACGATCTAAACTCCTCCCAAAAACATTCAAAAGCATGTTTTCAATGCGCTTATAGCTCTCAAAAAGGATCCGTACAGGCTCGTATTATCTGCTGACAAGGGTAATTGTAGTTCGTGTAGTGTGATCGTCCGGGTGAGTGGAGTGTCTGGTCTGTTGAACGCGATTGGTCCAATCACGTTCAACAGACTAGACTTTATAACATCATCGACTGACAATTACTCCTCACTTGACTCTGAAGATGTCTATCGCACAGACAGTCGAAACGTCAGTCACCAACAACAGTTCTTTTCAGAACTACACTCACCCGGACGATCACACTACATGAACTCAGGGGTGGATCCAGGATTTTGAGTGAGTAGTTTCCACCCGAGGACCCACTCCTGCTAGGGGGGTTCGGGGGCATGCCCCCCCGAGAAAATTTGAAATTTGGAGCTCTCTAAAGGCCATTTCATGCATTTTTAGAAAATTTAATTGCCCCAAAAGACTAAAAAAGCATGTAATCAAAAAGGCAAAAAACATTTATTTTTTCTTGAAAGTACTACAGGAAACACTCTGATCTACAAATATTCCACCTTTAGCTACTGTGCAAACCAGTGTATATAGTGTTTTCAGGACGGCCAAGTCATCACCAAGACTTTTCACACTGGAAAACATCACCTCCCAGTCAGGAAAATCAAGATGTGGAGAAAAAAAAACGAACCAAGTGTTAGTGTTTTTGATAACAAAAGAAAAACAAGCACAATTGATGATATAGTTTAAAGATTGATAATAAAAATCTACTTGCCTTTTTCATCCTTGGGACCACAGGCTTACCATCCATAAAGCCCTTCTCTCTCTCAAATTTCTTCTGTGTTGTGCTCCTATAATGAATGAAATGAATGAAAGCCAGGCTCAATAAATCCAAATGTTTAGCAACACTAAAACAACATTTCCTGAGCTGGCTTTTATTCATTTCATTTATAGGAGCACAACACAGAAAAGAATTTGAGAGAGAGAGAAGGGCTTTATGGATTGTTAGCCTGTGTTGGGAGCTGGAATTCAAAAAATAAAACAATTATTAGAAAAATATAAATTATAAGAATCATAAAATGATATACAAATTGAAGTAAAATGATAATTTGAAATACTACTAGCCTTTCTTCATCCTTGGGAATTGCTGTGAAGCTGGTTGAGTTCAGTGAAAATGTTTGTTAACCATTTAAGCTTAACATGAAAACCCAATGTCAATGTCAATGGAAAATCATCACAAGTAAAACAAAATAGAAAATAACCTTGAAATGAGTTGAAAAAAAAAAAGTTATACAGGCACCAGTTTGAGCTTCTGTACTGTTCTCCATCAGTTTAAGGATTATGAGACTTAAAGGCCATAACCCAGACAGAACATAACTCACAAGTACTCTAGAAACAGCTGGTGCAAAAAATTATTACAAAATGTTTGCCATTCTCATTCTCCTAGGATGTAACTCAGCAAATAAATCTATTATACGTTCAAGGTCAAAATCCATGTCTCTGTGGGCATGCATCAGTGCCAATCCATTCAGTCTGTCCTGGGTCATTGTATTTCTCAAATAGTTCTTAAGATTCCGAAGGGATGATATGGATCTCTCACAAGATGCAGATGAAATTGGAATTGTGATCAGGACTTTCAGCATGGAATAGATGTTGACATATGCATCTTTGTCAATATCCTTCAGTGTAGCCTCAAACTGTCAGGAATAATATCTCCTCTGTTATCCCTCCCTTCCACAATCTCTCCCATAACAAAAGCTCTGCCTGTAATCCTGCATAATTTGGTATGTCCTGTCTGTAATGGTTACAAAATTCCAAAACATTGGCCTTCCAGGCAGGGTCAGTAGCTAGTAAAACAGAGGAATAATCGAAATACCTTTATAGCAAACAAATACATCATCCTGGAATCTGGTGTTGAGCTGCTGGAGTACATGGTCAAGAAAAACTCTAGTGAGATTGATCATCATCTCTCCGCCCCCTGAGTGGGATGTTGTTTTTCCCACAGAAAATAATAGTTTTGAAAAGGGACTTTAGAATCTCCCCGATTTCTCGCGATTTGCTGTTGAACTATGTTATTTAACTGCTGGTCAATTGGGACAGCTCCTCTTTGCATCATTCTCTTGAAATCATTCATAGCAGTCATAGAAAAATTGTGAATTTCACAATTTCCTAGCGAGTGTTTGGTTAAGCGAGAAGCGGCCGAAGTCCAATTTGTGAGAGGAGACTTCAATAATTTGTCTAACTTATTAGCGTTTCGCCCACACTGAACTCCAAAACAAACACAAGCTAAACAAAATGCTCCATCGAAATATTTGGAGTAAGCTAGCCATGGAAATCTTTTCAGCCAGCCCGAGACAAACTTACGAGATTTTCCATTTTCCATTGACACGGGGAAATCAAAAAGCTCACCTGGTTTCCACACGTTTTCGACGAACTCCAGCTTCTGATGCGGCGAGTAGTTGTGGATCTCGTCGAAAACTAGGCCAATGTCGAAGGGAGAACAATCCTCCCTCCGACAAACAGGATCTCCGCGAGTCATAACACAAGTATTGTAGGAGCAACGAAAGAGACCCGCTGGGGGAGGAACTGCCCTTTTTATACTTTGTCAGTAGTTTCCAAGGTAGTTTCCAAACACAACTAGCCAATCAGAAGAGCGTTTTGAGTGAGTTCCGATGACGAAATCTTTGCTAGCCAATCGTGAGGGGTTTTGACTGTGTTCCGCCTGTTATTGTCACCAAATAACAAGGACTTACACCCACCGGTTGCGTAAAGATTGGCTCCACGAACATTTTCCGACGGCTTCCGACGGTTTCCGAGGTGTAATCGAAGCTCGAAAGGCCAGCGCGTGATCCGGAGCGCTCCCGAACGCCTCATGACCGCAATTATAACGAAATTAGTCATTCTAAACGTATTTTCTTTAATAAATAACTGTAAAACAGGAAGATGGTTTATTTCTGGAAGACGTTTAGTGATTTCCACAAAAGTATCAGTAGTTTCCAAAGGGAAATTAGAATGTTTTCCAAAAGTACTTTTATCAACATTTAACTAGGTCGGAAAAAATTTGAGTGAGTTCCGGAAATCAGGTAAACTACCCTGGATCCACCCCTGGAACTACTGATACTTCTGGGTTCAAACCATTTACTTTAAGGGTAATTGTGTTGTGGTTATGGACAAACAGCAATATCACGACAAAGCTTTGTCTCTGCTTCATGACAAGAGTACGTATGCTGTCTTAAACTCTGATCCTACCAGAAAAGCTCAAAGAAAGTTAAACAAAATGTTGCTTGATTTGAAAAAAGCTGGTAAATTAGTGACTCTACGTACAAAATATTATACAGTAGTGACGGCTTTTGTCCACGTTTATATGGCTTACCTAAAATTCATAAACCGGGAATTCCTTTGAGACCCATTGTCCCTTTTGTTAATTCTCCGACTTATGCAATTTCTGGTTATCTTGCGAGAATTTTGTCGCCTGTTGTTGGGAATACTGATTACACTGTCAAAAATTCCTGCGAATTTGCGGATTTCAGCCACAACGTTAAAGTTGCTCAAAAACCTTTTAAAGGACTTCAGTTAATATGCATTGGCGATACGCATGTTTTGAACTAAAAACATACTTTAGTACCCACTGGAACGTATAGTATTATGTATTTCTACTAGAACGTTAAGGACGTAACTGCCAAAAACCAGTTACAAATAGTAACGCTCTTGATGAAAGGGAACCAGCGACTAGTTTTGCTGTTATTACAGGGTGTTACGAATTAACTTATTCTACAACAGATGAATTCTATATCCCAAGACAGGATTACTTCCATATTTTCGCTGCTTCGCGCAGGGTCCATAGCACAAGAGGCAAGTGACCAGTTAAATATTGAAGTATTGACATGCCTGCATGACACTCCCGCCATCCGCAAGCGATGCCACTTAAAATGTGTTTACGGGCCGGCACGACTCCTTACAAAAGGCTTGAAAATACAAAAACTAAACTCGATTTTAGTGGTTTGTTCAATACTTAAACTACTGTCTTAACTTTACTGAATGCGTTTTACTCAAAAGGCTTACGTAGGTCAACATTGTTTCGTGCTTATTATATCAGAATATAATTTTTGCGTGAAAAACAAAAAATTGTTGAGTACATAACCATTACCTCCTCCTGAGAATATTAGTAAAGAAAGCACCAAAAATTTGAATAACTCTCCCCTAACCTGGGATAGCTCTTTTTTTTAATGTCGATGAAGTACCGGATAGAGTATTTTCTCTACTTATTTCTGATAATTTATCCATCTAAAAGTCTTTTAACTCTGTTCCCTTCGAGTATCTATCGGGGTCTTTTTTCCTGCAAGAAAAAATTTGAAATAACCCAATTTATTATTACCTCAATTAACATTTTGGATATAAAGCAAACACAATTACACCAAGCAACAACATATATAAATAATTTGCTATTACTTGTATCTCATTGGTAGAGAGGCATCTGTGAGATTCTATACTTTACACCAAAGAGCGGAGATAGTAACTCTTCAAAAAGGAAAAAAAATGTGTGTAGATATATATATATATATATATTTATATATATGTTCTCACGGAGTCTTACCTCTGCTTGTCAAACTCGAATTTAACTTTAATTTATAAAATACCTGTTCTCAACGAGTCTCACCTCTGATTGTGAAACTCGAGCCTCACATCATCTCCAATCAGCGTAAACGAAGCCCACTCAGAAATTTGGTTCAAGCCGTTTTTTCTCATCCACTTCATGGCCTGATGAAGGGATTCACTGGCACTTTCTCCTTCAATGAGGTGTTCGTAGAACCGACTCATCAGCTTCTCTGTTGCTGAGTCTGGAATGGCCCACAGCGCAACCAATACCGAGCGAGCACCAGATCCTAAGAACGCACGGGCAATTCCTATTACTCCTTCG